AAAGACGAATTTAAAATTGTCGAAAAAGACTGAGCAGCCGTAGCGTCGTGGTTAGGTCTACGGCTGCTCAGTCTTTTTCGAACCAAATACTGTCAAATTTACGATCAATCTAATCTAAAAGGACCAAAAAAATCGTTCTATGGAAGCATTAAATAGACCTTATCAATACATTTAGATGTGTTTTTAAAATTTTTTAGGGCAAAATATTTTCAATTTAAACAACCTTCTCCTCAATTGAGGAGTATTAAACTTTATATGTTCACCTCCTCAAAACGCCTAAACGTTTAATAAACGTATAATCATCTTAATTTTTCGATCCGGTGAACTTCTTGACTTTTTTTCCTGTAATTCTTTTAGATTTTCTTTTTTCAATTCTTTTTAAACAAAAAATTTCCAGTAAACATTTGTTATTTTACACATATTATTTACATTTGCACTATATTTTAATACACGTTAAACAATGGCACTAAAAATAATATAAATAAATAAACTAACATTCAAAATATTATAAATAAATAAACTAACATCAAAATTTTCTTTAATAAATCAAATAACAAAAATAGAATTATGTTAAATATATATATATATATATATATATATATATATATATATATATATATATATATATATATATATATATATATATATATATATATATATATATATATATATATATATATATATATATACAAAGAATTCCAAATTTATCTCCTTGCGTGCTTAAAGCCCGTTCTCCATTCAGAACTTTTTGTGCTTTGGAGGAGCAGAAAAGTTCTTTGAGCATGCGCAAAAAGATCAGATTGGAGAACGGGTTTAAAAAAAACTCTTTGCGCATGCTCAAATAACTTTTCCGCTTCCCCAAAGCGCAAAAAGTTCTGAATGGAGAACGGGCTTAATGGCAAATTCGGAAATTATATCATCGTAACTTTATATTCGCAAAATTATATCATCGTTTTTTGGCAATTTCTGTTTCTATTGACAAAATTGCTAATGAAGTAAATCTATTTTGGCTTATGGTAGACCTTAAATAATTTTTTATTAACTTTAATCTTGTAAAAGATCTCTCTACTGAAGCGACTGTAATTGGTAAAGTTTAAGCGCAGTAACGAAATTTAGATATAACTGAAATAGATTATTTTTTTAACAAATTAAATGTTTGTAATATTCTGAAGTCGGAAAGCAAAACTCGAAGATATATTTTGATTTCATTACATAAATCAATCACATCAATATCATTTTGCAATGTCATATAAAAATTTTTACAATATTTTAGAAGTTCATCTTCACATTTTCTTAATATTATACGAACTATGTAAAAAACCATACAATGTTTCATGCTCTTTATAAGGTTTAAATCTTCTCGTGATTGAATTAATCGCATTATCAACAACGACAAGAAAATATTTAATTCAAAAATATTCTTCACTCGATGAAAAATATCTTACAATTCTTTGAATCTTAAATTCAGGCGTCACTTGTACTTCTTCAGCAGTTTCCTTAGCTATTATTATGGAGAAGTTAAATCCCGTTTCACGGTATTTTTCGAAAAATTCTAAAAATCCAAATTGGAATGTTGAAAAATCTTGCCAATGATATTTACTTCATTCAATATGGAGTACTAAATTACCACACTTAATATAAATTTAAAAGAACAAAGTTTATTTCCGATTGCTTCGATTTCCGTCCTTATTTTTACATCTCTGGTACGTTCAAGTAGGTGCTTTAAAGCTAGAGAAAATTGTGGTATTTGATATCTTACCGATTTCACGCTTTCCAGACGGCATTCCCTTCTTGTTTCAAATATCTATTTTATGTAAGTTTATGAAATCTATTATTTATTCGTCTATTTTTTATAAATGAGATTATAATCTTTTACAACATCATAGACATTTCTGCTGCTAATGCTTTTGTAATTTTCATTTTGTTTTCAGTCGGCATTTCCATGTTGATCAACGTTTTAAAAATAGAATGTTTTTTTTATTGTAAATTATAAATAGGGTTAGGACTATTGTTATTGTTATTGTAAAAATTAAATACAATAAGAATTACAAAACAATAATATTGTATGGTATTACCAAAGATGCAGTTAAAACATTATTTATGGTTATTGTATTGCTGTGAATACAAAACTATTGTATTGTTTTTTTTTCTAACAATACATTGAAGCTCTAAAACTAATGTATTGTATTGCTGTGATGTAATACAATTACATTAACTATTGAATTGTATTGTTGTGATGTAAAACAATTACAATAACAATTGTATTGTATTGCTGGGATAAAAAACAATTACAATAAGTACATTGATGTATTGTATTACTATTTCAAAGTCTAATAGCTATTGTATTTTATTGTATTTAGACTCTTTTTTTGCGCATTTCTTATTATTTGGGCACTAGATAATTTAGGGGTGCCCGTGACGCTCGTTTCCAGCAGTCAATTATATATATATAAATTTTATTTATTTTGAGAAGTGAAGTGAAGCTAGGGTAGCCAAAGAAGTATATATACTACGTATACTTAATAAATATTAGGTTTCACGGGCGCACGTAGCACCCATTTCTAGCAACCATTTACATATATAAATTTTATTTATTTTGAGTTCAATAATATAACTGTTTAAATAATAATTTATTTAGAGTTAACAATAATAATATTCATTCAAAATCATACAAATATATAATTTATCATATGCTTGTAATTAAATAATTATTTACTTAAAGAAGTAAAATTTTATATTTTTTTATAATTTTGTCTAAACTGATATTGACATGTTTTACCGGATGATGACGTCTAAACTAATTGATTAACTACATTAAGCACTTTTTTTTTCAATATATCTAACCGCTAATGTGTAATCAATTACATCGTTATGGAATCAAAGAACCATTAACCTGGGTAATTATCGATTAGATTGCCTGAAAATGTGAATTCTACATTTTCAGACCGTACCAGTAAATTTTGTGTGGATCATTTTTAAAAAATGAGGCACCAAATAAATATTGTTCTTGATTTATGTAACAAAACTCTTTTATAACTTTGCAACTAGATGTCCAGTTACTTTATAAAACACATAGAGCCATAAAGCCGAAGGGAAACAAAAGACAAAGTTATATTAGAGTAAGTGCGAGTTGAGTAAGTTTTGAAACAATTGGATAGGTGCCTAATATAAAAGCAAATAACTTAGTGGAAGAAGTGGTAGTAGTTAATCATGTCTTTCCCCAGCAGTAAAAGAAATACAGGCCCGATTAAACTCACTTTTATAGAGCTATATAAAGTTTATAAAAAAAAAAAAAAAGAAACAGAATCAATCCTTATATATTAGTTGTACCCTATCTCAGATACTAGACTGTTAAAACATTTATTAAATTTTGACTCTAAAATAATTTTTTTATTAGAATAACAATATATTGTTATTGTATTATAAAGACGAATTACAATATAGTATTTATTGTTATTGCAGTGGGCCATTACAATACATTTTTTTTTTCAGATATTGATATTGTTTTACAAAGATGAATTGCAATACAATATTTATTGTTATTGTATTACATTATTACATTAGTTGTAAATCACAAGTATTGTTATTGTTTCTAAATTAAGTTAATACAATAACAATAGTTAATGTTACTGTTATTGTTTTCATTACAATTTCAACAGTTCTAACCCTAATTATAAAAATAGAACGTTTTTTTTTATTTATTTATATAAACAGAACACTTATAGTCGAAAATCATAAAAATAGAGCATTTTTATTATAAATTATAAAACTAGAACACTTTTAGAGGAATGTCAAAAGCTTGTTTTTTAATCAAAAATATTAGGCTTTTTTATTTTATTGTATATGAAATACACAATACGGTTCAAAAACATATATAGTGCGCATACATTTTTTAAATATTATGGTTACTTTGTTCATAATATTCATGTTTTTCATATAAATAGAAAAAGTATGCCAACTTTGTTATGCCTAATTTTAAATCCAAATGCGATAGTCCTTTTGGAGCGCGGGGCAGACATCAACTAGCTTCAACTCTGATAGTGTCAATTAAAATATAGAAAGGGTCTACTAAAAGATATAAAAACTAAGAGTTATTAAACTATTAAGTTCTACAACATATTAATGATCCAATTTCTTAACTCGACGAAGTCAGCGTTGTCATACTTTGCCAGATATTTTTTGTAAAAGATGTTTTAGTGTTTGGTTCAATTTCTGAACAACGATAATTTTTTACATATTTAGGTTTTGATGTTTTGTTTTAATCACTACTATGCAACATTAGGTGTAGATTTTAACTTTCCACAAGTGTCGGTTTTTAGATCTGTTGAAATTTGATGTTTTGGTAAACTTTTTTAACATTAGCTCTTCAAGATTTGCTTTGTTTGATTCTATTTCATTTATTTGTGAAAGATTTATCATATAAAAGGCATTGCGTTAATTATATTTAGATTGTTAAACCGTAGGGTGACTTTGGCATTCCTATAGCCCCAAAACTGATATATGGGTTTAAAAAAAAATTTAATTTTTCAAACCCAAAAAAATATTACAAAATAATCTTAAATCAAGAAACAACAACATAATAATAAATGTAGAGCAAAGTTATATCATGTTTGTCTAAGTAAAAACATAAAGATATTATATCTTAAATTCAAAAAGAGAATTTCAAAGTTCAATTTTATTTTTTATATTTAAATAAAACTTAATTTTATCTTATTTTCTGAAGTATTTACTATTTACAAAATTTTAATTTCCAAAACTTATAAAGTTTATTTAAAGATATTTTATTTTATAATATTATTTATTCTATTTATTGTTATTTTATAATATTTAAAGCTGATGAACATATTAAGTTTACTTTTTCAACTTCATTAACATTGCCTCCACAAGTTCGGCGTCTTCACGATTTCTGCATTTTTATTTTTTGATAGTTATTTGATTATAATTTTTTTACAGTTTATTTTGACAATCTTTTCGAACTATATTCTCATGATAAAAAGTACTGAGTTTTAATAATTTCTTACTTTTAAATCATCTTGCATAAAAAATGCTTGCAATATTGACAACATAACGATTCCATAACAGTAGTAATTCAAATAAAATATTTATGCAAGTTATTTACCGAACACTAAACATGCAATGCAACCTTGTTTGTGAGCGGAAAAGTTCTATTATGTTACTATCATTCATTTTGCAAAAAGAGACCAAAAAGATCAATTAAAGCTTTTACCAAACAAGAATAGTTGAAAATACTTTCACCATAGGCACGAGTTCTACCAATGATTATCACCATGAAACGTTGGATTTGGTTTACCAACACGTGTGTTGATTTTAGGTTGGTAATTAGGTGGAGAATAAGGAATCACTAAGCATGATAACAATGCACCCAAAAAATTTAATGTAGATGCAACCCAACATATAATAGATGACCATCCATGTCGAAAATCAGAAGACCATGCGTTTTTGAAAACTTTTTCGGAATACCCTAACCCAGCGAACCCAGCAATAGCTAAATTAATATTATAAAATAATCAACCATTTTAAAATAAATTAAAGCAATGGCTAATACTTTGAAACAAATTGCAAGTTGAGAAAAATAAGTAACATAATGCACAAAAATAATAATAAACAATAAACAATAAACTGTCGTTATTAATTGCCTTTGTAAATGTATTATATATTAATTATTTTAATCATAGAAGTTAAAAATCATTTCAAATGGATAAATTAACACCATCAAATAAGTGTATTAATACAATGATTTAAAATGTTAAAAAGGATCTAGTAAGCAGCCAAGAACCATATTCCATGACTTTAATAAATTTTTTATTGGGATAGGTCCTTCCAAAATAAATAAGATTACATATACGGCGGCTTCTTTTAATAATTTCCTTGTATCTATTGATAACTGTATTTGCTCTGATGACTTATCTTTTTAGGAATTTGTAATAGCTAAAGTTACTCTATCTTTAATAAAGTTGCTAAAGTTACTCTATCTTTAATAAAAATGCTAAAGTCACTTTATCTTTAATAAAGTTCCTAAAGTTACTCTATCTTTAAAAAAGTTGCTAAAGTTACTCTATCTTTAATAAAGTTGCTAAAGTTACTCAATAAAGTTAGAAAATCAAATTTAAGCGACTATCGTCTTTTTATCGTATTTTCAAAATTTTTATAAAGAATAACGTGTAGTAGAATTTACAAACATCTCAACAAAAATAATTTACTATACAACCAAACAATTTGGTTTTGAAAAAAATAACTCAACAGAGCTTGCAATAATCTAGTTTTTACATGAAATATTAAAATTATATGAAAAATTGCAGTATATGTTAAGCATTTTCATTGACCTTTGTGAGGCCGTGGCACCACAAAGGTCAATCCAGCATTTTTTTGTGCTTGTAATGGAGTAAACTCCAAACATTTTTATGTTTATACTAATTTCAAATAATGATATTTTGCAAAAAATTGCGATTGTACTATTCTCAACTAGACTTATATTCATCAATAAAATTTTAAGTTTCATAGTACTTTCTCTCAGCGTTCAAAAAATATATATTAAGTATAAAGTTTAAAACCCCCTCAATTTAAAGGGGTTACGACTTTTTTATGGTCATAGTTTTAAACACTGAAAGATAATACAATGAAACTTAAAACTTAAGGACACATTTAAATCTAGAATAGTACAAAAAATATTTTATTGACTTGTTGCTCTAACGTTTGGGGTGAGGGGTGAGGTTCAAATTCTTATTATTTTCTTATTATAATTCTTTATTATTATTTGTTTCCTCCTTTTTCATAAAATATTAATACTTTTCACAATAACATTAAAATTTAAAAAAGATTTTAACAAGATTTAAGTGATTAAAACTGTTCTTTATGCGTCTTCTTCATTTTTTAAAGCAAAAACTATGATTGGATATCATTTATAATAAAAATCCTAGCACCTACTGCGCTCAACTGAGCTCAAAAAATTTGGTTTTGTATTTTTATCTATATATGAGAGTGTAATTTAAAGAAGATCACATGTCCGGAATAGTGCGGCTTAGTGTTTTTCTGCTTGTGTAAAGGTAAGTGTTAAAAAATATGTTGCGCATTTTAAAGGGTTTTATTGAAAAACACATTGAAAAAAACTAAGTATAAAAAATAAATTTTCATGTTTTTTCTTCTTATTTCAATATATGATGTCTATGGAAAAATATAAACTTTTAAGAAATTAAAATGTTGTAAAATAGTCTTGATGCCGTTATATTTCATTTACATAATTTTTTACATTTTCACCAATATTTGAAAAATAAAATACTGCAATTTTTGTAGTAAAATTGATATACTGAGCTCAAATACCACAGAAGGGAAAAAATTATATCTGTTTTAGAGTGCTAGGCGTCTCTAGATTATATTTCCAAAAAGAAACTAATCCCATATAAAATCGGCTTTGAAAGGTTTTGCTCATCTCTGCCCAATTGTGCAGTGTTTAGAGTTCTGACCAAGAGGTCCGCGCGTTCCTTCCAAGTGTGTCGAGTCTTTTCATTGTTGACTATTATTCATGTTAATATTAATTTCATAATGTGTAGGCTTTTGAAGTAAAATGTGTGATGATCTACTTTTACTGCGCAGTAAAATTTTACTGCGCAGTAAAATTGCTTTTTAATGTCTCCAAGTATAGTAAAAACTATATAGGGGAAGTGGGGGCATAACCGCATATGGAGGCACAACCGTTTTTTAACATTTCTCTTCAAAAAATGTTATCTAATATGGCAAAAAACATACCACGCGTTAGTAAAACAGTTTCCTTCATTTTGCATATGTCAAAAAGAGTGACTGTTAAGTTTCTGAGAAGTTGTGAATAATAATTTTTATTTTGATAAAAATATTATATTTACATCATATTTTTCCTGACCTTCTTTTTGAGAGTTAAGCAATATTTAATTTTAGTGTTAAAAATATGTGTTATCATCATTATTTCATGAAGTGAAAGTCATTTTTGATAATACCATAATCTAATAATTAATCTATGAAACTGAATTCTTTCTAAAAACTCTCTGGGGTAGAACTCTCTTCTGGGGCAGAACTCAAAATGTAAACACAAACCCAGCAAACAATAGACGTCTTTTAGACCGTCTAAAATTGGTCAAATTAGTATCTATTGCCGATGCGTATATTTTAGACGTATATTAGAGATCGAAAAGACGTCTGATTCTAGAGATACTATTTTTGCTCTGTTTTAGATGCATATTAGATGCATAAAATAGATCGTGCATAGATAATTTTTTTTTCATCTAAACTTAGATGTCTATAAGATGTCTTTTATAGATTTGCTATAAAAACAAGAAAAAAATTTTAACTAATTTTACGGAGCGATATTATTATAAATGATTATAAATGACCGCCATTTAAAAACCCTTCGAAAACTTATTTTGAAAAAAGCATGAAGATTTTAACCTAAGGAAGACATCAATGATTATTTCTTTTGATAAATTTTAAATAATAAAATAACATGCTATTATAGTTCACAAAATATTTCGATGATTTGATGCTTAGAATGTTTGCTAAAATCCTTGTGATTTGAAATTTATTTTGCAGAAATATTACAAAAGTGTTGTTCAATAACACAAAAGATTGTTTTATTGGTTGTGCACTTATCATTTTTATCGATGAACCAAGATTCATTAATGTCTTTTACAAAAAGGGCATACGAAAAGAGACGCAGTAGACGTGTCCAAAAAGAATATTAAAAAATACTAGAATTTTCATCAGTACATATAGAAAAAAAAATCGAATGTTGGAACTTCTAAAAGAAATGATTTCTTATCTTGCGAAAATCTAAAAGAATATTTTGAACATCATGAGTCATTGATTTTGTACAATAAATACTCTTATAACCAAAAGCCTAATGAGTATGAGCTTTAAAGGAAAGTTTTTCTGAATGTTTTTCTAACCAAGTAATTATGCACTAAACAAGTGGATTGAATAATAAGAATAGCAACAAGTTTATTGTAATAACAGAATAGCAACAAATTTATTGTCCCAAAAAAAAACTATAATCATGCACTGAAAAACAACCTTTCGTCAACAAAAGAATGGCACAAATTTCCATTGATCAAGTATAAGATAACAGATAGTCAGTTTCTAACTTGTTTTGTGTTTTTTTTAAAGGTAACTTAATTACTTTTTTGTAGCAAAATATTTTATAATTGTATTCATTTTCATGTTGTAAAGAGTACAACTTTCTACATCAGATGAGATATATGTTAAAGAAAGCATTAAAAATAAGAATAGCAAATCATACTGCTCTTCATTGCCAGAACCTCCGCCACCTATTATGAATAAGCCCAATGATAAAAGTATAACACAAATATCATATTTTTTTCTTAATAGTTTATAAACTGAAATAGATTCTTGTTTAATTTGATCTGAATAATATCTATCTAGCTATTAGTCTTTTTTATGTATTACTAAGATTTTCCTTTTATTTTAACTATTTGGGTGTCCTATTATATGTAATGTTGTTAAATTGGTTACATATATTTATATGATTGACAACATTCTATTGTATTAAATAATCCTTTAATCAACTTGATATGAAAATTGAAAATTGATTGAAAGCATGCTGAAATTGTTTAAATTCAGAAATTGAAAGTACAAAATTGGTTGAAAAATTAAATTAAGTAGCAGGTATGGTTGAGGGATTATTTATAGTTCTAATTAGAATTATTTCTTTTGAATAGAGTTGTTATCAGATTCAAAGATTGAAGAAGATAATTTTTCTTCACATTTTATTGATGAACAGAATAAAATTAAGCAAAGTTCACATTGTCAAAGAGTTTCAAGTTTTAATATGAGTATTTTTGGTTTTTACACCACTGAATGTTAATGTGGAGGTCTTTTTTATTAATTCGTTTTTGTATTAAGATAATTGTAAAAGATAGGTATAAAAGAATAGAAATGGATTATTTATAATATTGTGATCCAATAAATCATGTGTGTAGCATTTTACCTTTAGTAGTTAAACAAAATTCTTTAATATCGTAACTTTTTACAGGATAAAGTTTTAGCTAATTTAAAAAGTAGGTTTTCCAAAATATTATGGCAACTTCTGCGATGGAGTAATTAAAAAACTTACATGTATTTTTGGAATTTTAGTTTGAGTTACTCAAGCATAATTTGAATTTTAAAGTTCTTATTTCATTGTTTTGCTATTTGGTTTTATGAACTAAATATGTTAATCAATTTTTTTATTCTTGTTTGTAGAGATGCAAAATGTTATTCTCAACAAGCTTGCAGAAATAAAAGTTCTTTTAAAAGAAGTTATAGAAATTAAGTTTCAGGCTACTGGGGTGAAGTTGCTAGAATCAGTGGACGAAGTGGTTACACTGGATAATAAACTAAAAGATAAAACCGAGTATACTAATTTGATAATACCTAATTATCTTAATTTTTAATAAGTTTGTTTAATTTTGGTTTACTAGTTTAGAATCTAAATAAAAAGTATTTGTAAATGAACTAAAATAA